TTTATTTAAAAATAAATAAATATTTATTAATATAAATATTACTATTATTGTTCTAAATAAATATATAATTATAAAAATAAAAGGATTTGACATATAAATAAGACATAACAGAATTTATATTACATTTTCATTATTCTAAAATAACATTATCCATAGTACAATTAACACGTAAAAGTTGATAGTCCTTATTTATTGAAATGAAATACGGGGTAGTCCATGTAGCAGTACACGGATAATAGAAATGAAAAAAAAATGTAGAGTAATAATAGGGATCAGGTGTCCTTCTACCAAGTAGAGTTTCACATAATGGTTACCATTAACGTACCCTAATTGCAAAAACAACATGTTGATACCACGGTGACGGAATAGACCTAAGTGACAAGTATGTTGAACAACCTATAATGTCTATAACGTGTAACATCACATTATACTTTGAAACAATATATCAGGACACCAATTTCATACATTGTCATCCAATGTTCAACGGAGGCAACTCGATCTGATTGAAAGAAGATTAAAATATTGTAAACTATATTCCAATATTGATTTCCAAATATGTTGAGGTATTCTGTCTTGTATGCGTCTAATTCTTCCATCAAGTTAAACCGAATTTATATTACATTTTAATTAATATGAATTATTAATAAATGCATATTTTCTTTTTATATGTTTTTTGTTTTTCCATTATCTCTCTTGTAGTTTGTCAAAAAAATTGTCCTTATATTTTTGTAATTACAGTTTTAATTCTTATGATTTACAACTTATTGTTATTTTTCTTTTTGCATTTATAATTTATTTCTATTTTCTTTTCTCGTACATAAAAGTAGAAAATGATAAAAATAACAATGAATTACAAACCATAGAGACAAAAATCGTAAATTTGGGAACAAAATCGTAATTTTTAACAAACTATAGAGACGAAAAATATAATTAACTCTAAATTATATTATACAAATTGTAAATGAAATCGATTAGTTTGTTCACCATCTTCTTTTGAAGTATGAAGATCAAAATAATATCAATAATTCTTTTAAAATTTATTGGGTGGTTATAAAATCTTAATTTTAAAAACATATTTTTATATTTTATTTTTCTTTTAAGATTTTTGAATTAATCATGGACCGATCACAGAATCTTGTTCAGTGCGTTATTATTTTATCAAGAATGAATCGATGACGATATATTAGGTTTTATTCATGAATTTTCTATTTTTCCATTCGATAAAGATTCATTGATCATTCTAAAATCAAAATCATATAATTTTGAAAAGTCAAAATCAAACCTAACCACCCATGAACAATAAGAGAAAAACACTATCATATGTACGGATATAGATACACAAAAACTTGAAATCGAGCCTAGAATTCGTTTTAAAGCTCGATTAAGCTAACTTTATTTCAAGTCGGTTGATATGTCGGTTTTGATGTCCGAGGAAGAATTGAAGCTTGTGGTGCGCTCTTGCAAGTGGGTTTACAACGAAACCCTAAATTGGATTCTTCTTGAAAAGATGAATTAAGCCGTTAATTTAATTAGACGGAGGGATAAATATAGGATATTGTAACAGTTATTTGGCACCTAAACTTTTTAGGTTAATTCAGGATATTAGAAAATATAAAAAAATTAAATTTGATCTTAAACCTAATTAATAAGAAATATATATATGCAAATAAAATATAAAATCCATATAAAATAGTACCCAATTACATTCCAAGAAAGTTGGAATACAGATGAAATGAAGTTCAGTTTTGTGATGAAGCAGAAATGGGTTTCTTGATCTCATCTTCAATGGCTTTCTCCAACCACATCTCTGCATCTTGCATCATTTCTGGACTAAGTCTGATCATGAGTATGCAAAACTCCATTTCATTCAAGAATCCATCTCCATCAAGATCACCTTCCATCATCATCTCCTCTGATTCCTCTTTGCTCATTCCTTCCATTCCCAGAATCCCACTATTCTTCCTCAAACTCTCCGCCGTTATCACCCCCATCTTCTCATCCGCCAGCAGCCGGAAACCACCGTATAGCTCCTCCATGAACCTCCCCACCTCTAGCTTCTCCGCCATCACCGGAAGCAAGTCTTGGTACCCACTTTTTTCTTCCATTTTCTGATTTCTGATCTCTGGTCGTTGGAGGAATCAGTTGATTTCTTCACCTTCAGACTTCCACCATCAACACTCTCTCTCTCTATCTATATATATATCGTAAAGAAAACCAATGGTGTCATCATATCGATGGTTGTGATTTGCACCTGTTTAAGGAAAAGTTGAAAAGGATGAGGTTGTAGGAAGCTTCATGGGAAGGTAAGGTTCCATTAATGTCTTTTGGAAACATTCTCCATACTTAAATTATCATTCTTCCATTGCTTGTCTTCTTTCGTCTTCTTCCTTCCATGAACCTTCCTCCCTTTTAACTCTTCTATTTGTCAAATAATTATCAGCACTTTGGAACATGTCATCTTTCTTAACTCATTACACATCTGTATACAGGGTTTAAACAAGAACAATAACTAAACGAAAAAAATACGAAAAATGATCAAATCATGTTAAATTAATGGTCACCGCAAGTGTATGCGGGCAACGAGGCCCGCAACCTCTGGTTGCGTGAATCACGTGTGATTTTACATGTGATTTTAGTGTAAAATCACATGTGATTCGACCTTTTTCTTATTCTCTTATTTGATTACTGTCTCTGTATAAATCTGACTATATATATATAGGCGAGTTTAGTTGATAACCTAATTTCCATTGTGAATCGGGAGTCAATGAGAGCGCAACACGTGTCTAGGACATTCTTCATTAATAACGTAGCATTCATTATGAATGAAAACATGTATCACGCTCTTGGTTATTCCCCGGTTTGCAATGGAAATTAAGTTTACAACTATACTTTTCTTCCTCTCTCTATCTATGTAAAATACTGCTACATTGAATCCACACCAGGTATACTATCTATGTTATATTACAAAGCGTTTACGTAAAAACAATATATTAATCATTATATATATATATATATATATGGGCCTAATCAAATGAGAACTAATTAGTTTGTGGTAACTGTGAGAACCAATATTAACCACAAATCAATAGATAAATTAGGAAATTTATAATTTTGGCAATTTTGAATTAAAATATTAATGCAAGGATATTTTTGGTATTTTAAAACTTTCCTCCCTCCTTTCTTCTCTCTCCGGCCACCGTCCTCTGGTGATACTACAATGGTATCACAATGCATCATATATGTGCTTAGGTATCACATTGATGTCGTTTGTGTGGTCGATCGAAGATGTAACACAGTGATATCACTATACATCTTATATATGATTAGGTATCACAATGTATATTTTGTTTAATAGAGTCAATATTTTTTAGGTATCACACATATATACATTATATTATAAAACATTTGACAAAAACTCTTAAAAACCATTTTTTATGCATGAAGTACTGTTTATTGATGTACATTACTTAAAATTTAAGATTACAGTTCGAGCTTTAATTTTAAAAAGAGAGAAAGATAAATGAAATTTATAGGTTTGTCTTTTTGACGATGAAGTTTGAAGTTGATTCCTTTAGTTTTATAAAAATTAAGATAACACCTTTAAGTCTTAAAATTTATAAGAAAATACCCTAAAATTTCAAAAATTTCAATGGATGAGCTTGATTCGAGTTGCAGTTCGAGCTTATTTCGAGCTTCAAATGAGTTTGAGTTTAAAAAATTGCAATCGAGTTTAGTTTTTCACTACTCGTGAGCTTTCGAGTCGAGTTCGAGCTTGAAATATGGCTATCGAGTTTGAGTCGAGTATATTGATACTCAAACTCGACTCGCATCATTTACACCCCTACTTATTAAAACTTCATTTTAAATTCGTGTAACTAACTGCGGATAAATATAATCAAATACAGGATAAACATTTCATTTTAAATATAAAAAATCTAAAATATAATTAGGATARTCATTGAGTTYTAAYAWAWYACTTRATTATTATMTTTATAAAAAATTATATTATTAAATCAAAACTAAATTACTTTATTATTAAATCTAAATTAAATTATAATAAAATTAGAAATTATACAAAAAAACGTGAACTTTTAAATAGTTAATTTGATACTAATATCGATATATTTTTTCAAATTTTTATRARATATTCAAATTTATATTTTATTCAAACATAAAAACATTATCATTTTATTAAAATCATATAAAACCATGTTATAATGTCAACAAAGACAAAAAATAAAGCGAAACATTAAAAGTAAGATGTATCGCGCTGCATTGCGCAAGTACTCTTCTCTCTCTCTCTCTCTATATATATATATATATATATATATATATAGAGAGAGAGAGAGAGAGAGGCACATTCAAGGGAAAACTGATTAGTTTGTGGTAACTGTAAGATCCAATCTCAACCACAAATCAATAGATAAATTAGGAAATTAATAATTTTGATAATTTTGAATTAAAATTTTAATGCAAAGATATTTTAGGTATTTTATCTCATCTCTCCTCTCTTCTCTCTCCGTCCCCCGACCACCGTCATCTGGCCACTGTGATATCTAAAAATATTGACTATGTTAAGCAAAAAAACACAGTATGATACCCAAGCACATATAAGATGCATTGTGATAACACTGTGTTATGTCTTCGATCGACCACACAAACGATCTCAGTGTGATACCCAAACACATGTAAGATACATTGTGATACCACTGTGGTATCACAGGAGGACGGAGGCCGGAGGACAGAGAGAGGAGAAAGGAGAGAAAATACCTAAAATTTCCTTGCATTAAAATTTTAATTACCAAAATTATAAATTTTCTAATTTATTTATTGATTTGTGGTTGATATTGGACCTCATGGTTACCACAAACTAATTAATTTTCATTTGATTAGGCCTCTCTCTCTCTCTCTCTCTCTATATATATATATATATATATATATATATATACATATGGGTTTGGTTCACGTGAGACCAGCATGTTTTCGTGAGATCCGTGATATTACTTTTTTACATTTGAGCGTTTTGCTGTGAAGTTTCAAATGTAACAAAGTGGTCTCACGGGTCTCACGAAAACAGGCCGATCTCACGCGATTCCAAGTCTCTCTCTCACTCTTACAAACTAATCAGATTCATCCATTTTTTTATGAAAGACCAAGATTGAAACTAAATAAGTAAAGTAAAAAAAAGAATTCATATTGGAGACACTGTATGTGTGTGTGTGTGTATAAAAGTTTAGTTGCAAACCTGTTTTCAATTTTGATTTGGTAACAAAGAAAGCGTGATACATGTTCCCAGTGTCCACATTTATCATAGATAATGAAGGTGAACATTCATGAACCATCCATGATAAATGATACAACATTCATGATCAATGATAAATTGATACACCAGTTATGCTAAATAATCCGTGAATGTACAAGACATGTGACGTTCTTTCCTTTATCCCCTCGTTTTGTTGTGAACTTAGGTTTTCATTTGAAAACGTCCCTATATATATGTCTGGCATCGTGTCAACATAACAATTACTTTTTTGATCTACCTTCAACTATCTCCTTCTATCTTTATCTTCATTTTTAGTCACTTTCACGAATTTTTACACATATTTTAAATCAATTTCTCACATGCATGAAATTGTTAACCTTTCGACCATGGTGATAAATGAAGGTTTTATTCTTAAGTCTCCACCATAACTCTTAGCGTTATCAGAACCCAAATTATATATATATATACACACACACAGACACACATTAGAAGGGTACTCGTGCAATGCAGCGAGATAAGTCTCGATTTTAATGTTTAGTTTTTATTCTCTCTCTATCGATATAATACGATTTTATGTGATTTTGAGAAAGCAGTAATGTTTTTATTTTTGAACTAAAATATCAATTTGGAGATAACATAAAAATTTATAAAAAAACAAATCAATAATAGTATTAAACATTGCCCATGGATAAAGAAAAACCGTTTCAACATCAAAAACAACAAAAACTAAGTCCGCCATCAAATCCCAGGGCTCAACTTTCATCTTCAATCATAAAAGAAACTTCGATAGAAAATTGCACAGGGGCCAGATTTATCCTGACGGGAGCAAGAGTCTACGCTGGTTCAAATCCAGCTCGGCCATTAAATTTTGAAGGATTTCATCTCATAATTATCCATGACTGTTTATGTCTCTAGCATGACCACTTGATGAAATGTGGAGGGAAGTGGGGTAAATGGCCGATTCTTATAGTTCTTTTTTTTTTGTTGTAACTTTTTTAATTTAATTTTTTATTATAATTTAATTTAGATTCAATAATAAAGTAATTTATTTTTGGTTTAATAATATAATTTTTTATAAAGATAATAATTAAACATTCTGTTATAACTTAATGATTATCTTAATTATATTTTACATTTTTAATTTTTAAAATGAATGTTTATCCTTTATTTAATTATGCTTATCAGAAGTTAGTTACACGAATTTAAAATGGAGCTTTAATAAATTGTACTTATGCAAAATTACTTGTAATCTTGAATTTTAAGTAATATGTATCAATAAACAGTACTTCATGCATAAAAAATGGTTTTTAAGAGTTTTTGTCAAATGCTCTATTATAGTATATATATATATATATATATATATATATATATATATATATATATGTATATTAATTACTTGTCAACCCTATTGAATCATGAGCATGAATTTGCATTTCAATTCAATGTTCTTGCTTTGTGTTCAACTCATGATTTTTCTTGATTCAAAGCTACACTCAGTCTTGACTTTGAACAAATTAACAGCTAATATTAATATATGTTTAACCACTAATTAAAACCAGTAAACAAACACAAACTAATAATTTATTGTTCATTTAAAAATAAAACCAATAAACATAAATAAATAACATTTCCCTACCAATTATCTTTCACAATCTTGAATTTTTCAAGCACGGTTTTGGATTCTTTGTACTTCTGTGATTCCTCATTAACTTTCTCGTATCTCCATCCCAAAACCTCCCCACAATCTGAACACTCGACGTCTGCGATCGTGTACCAACCCGTGATCAGTTGCCGATCCTTTTTAGGACCGGCCACCAAGTTCATCACGTGGGAAAACAAGAACGCTCTCTGACGATGACCTGCCTGCAATGGAAAAAGAACAAATACATAAAAACGTTGCACACCTTGAAGAAGAAAATGGATTCGTCACAACGTATGTATATATAATACTTAGGTACCATGAAACGTTTAGAGACGATATCATCGTGAAGTGCGACATGATTACGACAGTTGTAGCAAGCGTACAACCGTGGACCAATGACATCCGCCATTTGAGAGAAATGAAAAGAATGCTTTGGAGATGATCGAATGGAATTGAATCAAAGAGTTCGAGTAAATCAAGAGATATGATTTGGTGAAGATATGATAAGCTCCAACTAACAAGAAACAAACTATTAAACACTTTTTGAGTAAACTACAAATTTGGTCCCTATGGTTTGTCAACAATAACACTATTCATTGCCGCAGTTTCTAAATTACAAGTTGGCCACCGTAATTTGGAGTAACAAGCTCATTTTCATTATTATTATTATCATTCATTACTCCTTAATAGTTAATACTTCTAATCAAACACTCTTAGCGGTTGTGTACCAAATACTTACTCGGTAAGTACTTACTGATAAAATTTAACATTATCATTTACTTATCGGGTAAAATTTTAGTTCACTAAAATAACATCGTATGCAACAATTTATCTGGTAAGCGCTTATCGTGGTAAGAGTCGTCGCCTTCACTTACCGGGTAAGACTCTTGGTCTTTGTCTTGCTATTACCGGGTAAGATTCTTGATCCTTATCATATTCATCTGGTAAGGTAAATATGACTTGGTAAACGTTAACTCAGGTAAGCATTTAATAAACGGTCCCTTAGTCTCGATAAAATACTGTAGATGCTAAAACGTTTCAAGCAACTAATGTTATTGGTAATTAATAATATGATTACAGCCCTAGAGTTGTTGAAATTAAATGTCAATAGTGAAAATGAAAAACGTGGAGTCGTATGTAGTTCGATTTTTGAGTTTTAAAGTTTTATTTTAAAATGCTAGGAGGGTACTCACACAATGCAGCGAGATATATCTTCATTTTAATGTTTCGTTTTTATTTTTTGTCTCTGTTGATATAATACGATTTATGTGGTTTTGAGAAAGATAATGTTTTTACGATTTAGTGAAGTAATTTATTTTTGACTTAACAATAAAATTTTATAAAGATAATGATTCTGTTAGAATTTAATGATTATTCTAATTATATTTTAGATTTTTTATATTAAAAATGAGATGTTTATCTTATATATGATTATTTTTATCTGCGGTTAATTATACGAATTCAAACATGAATCTTTAATAAGTTGTACTTACACACAATTTACTTGTAATCTTAAATTTTAAGTAATATACATTAATACACAGTACTTCATGCATAATAAATAGTTTTTAAAATTTTTTGTCAAATGTTTTATAATATAGTATAGATATATTTTCTTAATAAAGTATTTATAAGAATTTTAGATTTATAAAGCCAACAAATATATCACATAATATAAACAAAATTCTAGCTCTATTAATTTATAAAGAAAATTACATTAAAATGATAGCAATTTTATTTCAAAATTCAAGCACTTCAAAAATTATAAAGCATTAATTTATTTTAGGCCCTAAAATAAAAATTGTAAGTTACAGGGGTGGTGACTAATTGGTTTAAGTTTAGGCTCCAAAGATTAAAAGTGTCTGGAGGTTCCAGTTTCAAATACAATGAGGAATAAGAACCCCTTATGGGCCACAGAGGTACAAATGCGGTGACTCCGGACTATCCGTAAAACAAGTGATTGCCCGGAAATTAGTCAGCTCAGATACTGAGTTAGATATCCAAGTTAATAAAAAAAATCGTAAAAATCGGTGCCCAGATAGAAATTGATCCCTTTTAGGGGTGTAAATGGTACGAGACAACTCGCGAGCTACTCGAGATCGACTCGGTCAAAGCTCGGTCAACACTCGACTTGAATAGGCTCGGCTCGAACTCGAACTCGAGCTCGACTCGACATATTAACGAGTCGAGTCAAGCTACTCAATACTCAACTCGAAGAGCTCGTGAGATACTTGATTATTTTATATATAATTAGTTTTAAATTATAATTAGTTTTTATGATAAAATTTGTAAAATATAAATAATAAAAATGTCTTATATTTTTAGATATTTAAACAAAATTATGCATTTTTTAATTATAAAAATTAATTAATTATTTTTTATTAAAATCACAATTAAAAAAGACAAAGAAAAATAAAGTGTTAGTGGAATTGTCCTACATTGAAAAAGAGATGATAAAGAAAGTGAGAAAAGATGTTATAAAAAAGAGGGAGGTAAATGAAATTTCTAACTTTGTCTTTTTGATGATAAAATTTGAAGTTGATCCCTTTATTAGTTTTATAAAAACTAAGAAAACACCTTTAAATTTTAAAGTTTATAAGAGAAAGATCCTAAAATTTCATAAATTTTAATGGGTGAGCTTGATTTGAATTCGAGCTTGATTTGAGTTGCAGTTCGAGCTTAGTTCGAACTTGATTCGAATTCGAGCTTGAAAATTGGGTTTCGAGTTCGAATAGAGTATAGTGATACTCGAGATCGACCCACATCATTTACACCCCTAATCCTTTTATCCTAAATTATATTTAAAATGGTGATTTATTGAAGTAAAATAAGTTTTACGGGTTAAAAAGAATAATTATGGTAAAATTAATTATATTTTGTATTGTTGTCTAGGGGCAAACGAGGAATAAAGGCCCAAAGTTTAGGAACAAGACCATATTTTTTTTTATGCCTTCTTCAATTGGCATCCCATTGCCGTCGCCGCTGCCATTGCCACTCCTTCGTCGCTGCTGCATCTGTTTGATTTAATCTGTAATACGCTACCAAACAGGTATTTGTATATACCAATATATATATATATATATATATATATATATATATATATATATGCTGATACACGCACTACAATTTTCCGGTTCACCGGCTCCAGTAATTTGTGTATTCAACGTATGTACAGTATGTGTTTGTGTGTGTTTATTGATCGGATCAAGTTACTGATTCACAAACATATAACTCGCCCTTGTGGTCTGTATTGCATTTGTCATTTCGTTTTATGGATTATGCACGTAAGCTGTTTGATGAATTGTCACTCTATTCATTAGTTCTAGTAAAATCGATGTTCGTTTGTACTACTTTCGATTTTGTTAGTTTTGAAGCAGAATCTGTTAAATTCTTTCTATTTTAAAATTTAAATCATTCCAGAAGCGTACACACTAATGTACTGCCACTGTGCTCATATTCTAATCACCCAAAAGAACGATATTTGTCAACACGACTGATCACTGGGCCAGTACATGATAAACCAGATCAAAACACTGAATTATGTGTATTTTGTAGAGCATTAGCTACAAGGATTGTAGAGATGGAATTCTGCCCCACTTGTGGGATGCTGTTGAAGTATGAGCTGCCACATATGAGTCGTCCTGCCAGATTTTTCTGCCCTACATGTCCATATGTTATCCAAATAGAGACCAAGGTAGCTTCACTCAAAGACGATGATAAAACTATAATTCTCAATAAGTACCTTGTTTTGCCTTGTCATTAGATCATTGTTTTTCCTTCCGCTATGTTTAATCTATATGCAGGTCAAGATCAAAAGAAAGCAACGTTTGGTTAAAAAAGAGATAGATCCTATTATCACGAAAGATGACATGAGTAATGCGCCAAAAACAGATCAAGGTACTTGTATATTTAACAATTTGTTACTATTAACTTGTTATAAATGTGGATGGCTCATCGCTATTAAAGATTTTTGAAGCATGATTTATGTGAATGTATGTGTTCATTTCTCTACTGTGGTTCCCCCCATCTTTGCATGCACACACACACACACACTCATATATAGTCAATTCTTGTGGGATGGATGGATATAGGTGTGATGAACCAAAGGTTTATACTTGGGGCATGGTTGTGTTATCTCGGCATGAATTTTGTTAGAAGTTCTTGCTTTATTAGCCTTCAGTTAATATAGCCATTCTGGTCTGCTTTCCTTCTCATAGCCATCTTCTACAATTTTCCAACTGGCCATTGGTTCATTATTGAAGGAGTTAAGTTCACTCAGGATACCAACAATAGGTCTCAGCCTAAGGATGGGAGACAAACCTCCTATGACTTCCTAGATGCTTTGGCCAGCAAAAGGAACCTTGTTGATGCATTTTAAGTGTATTAGTTATCTATGTGGCCCTTGGTTCCATTAGACTCACAGTCCTACTCCTATATACCACAATCCATGTATTGTTTCGAAACTCACTTGGTGAAATGTGGGAAATGAAGTATCGAGGGAGTTACTTTTTTTTTTTACTCAGGCGTATCTCGAGGAGTAAGCTACATATATAGAAAGTCATACATTAAAGCTCATCTCCAAACCATGAAGGATGTGTGAATATAAACCCACAATAGCTTTGTCTCTCATCTATGTGGGACTCAAGCCAGAGACAATTTCTAAAACTAAAATAATTGACCATAGTCCCCAATGTATTTGAAATTGACTAAAAGAAATAACAAAGATTTTGTTGGGTGAAACATGAATATATATGCTTCAAAACTGGTGTCTAGACCAAAGGAGAGCTAGATTAGAAGGATTTGACATACAAAGTTGTTTCCAACTTTTGTGAACCTCAAACCCATAGATTATTGGTGAACTTTTTGATGCTTCATTGTCTGGTTTGAGTCCATTGTTTCACTTCTTTTTTAACTTAGTTTCTCAGCTCTTTGTTTCGTGCAGCGCACTGCCCGAATTGTGGTCACAATAAGGCTGCATACATCCAGTTTCAAACAAGGTCAGCTGATGAACCGATGACAATAAACTTCACCTGTGAGAAATGTGGTCACTGCTGGCGTGAGGACTAACTTCCCTTGCTGCAAAGTTTTCTTCTCTTGAATACGCTTTTCTGTCGTTCAAAATCAACTTCTTGGAAACCAGGTGGTCTTATTACTTCAGCTATAAGAATAGTTGCCACAGATCCTCACAGCTACAAGTGTAGCATTCTCCTTGTTGCTGCTCTTTGCCCTTTTGGTCTTTACTTTGTTCTTTAGTCGATGGGTGTTTCGGATTTAGAAATATTTGGAACTTATCATTTGAAACAATGGGAACAGACAAAATGTTGTGTGAATCGAAAACTCAGGAGACTTGGCCTGTTAAAAACGGTAGTGTTGTAGTAGTTCCAAGTCACTAAGAGTGTGTTTGGTATGCGAACGGTACTGAACTGATAGGAGGGTGGTATGTTTTGGGATTTTAATTTGATATAGCAGTTTAGTAATTTACCAAGTTTGTCTTATCTTCTTGATTATTGTTATACCGATTTTGGTACAACAGAAAAAAAATGCATGTTTTCCACTAAGCCATGTTTAGTCCTAGTCTAAGTATTGCACCAAATGTGAGATAACAAGTTTTTGTTGAAACTTCTATCATGCATATCAAAAGCACCTTAAGCGGTTGATTGGTTGGTTTTTCATTATATCCTGTATGGATAAAGCAATATGTGTGGATTAATTTGTCTGTATATATTAAGAAGGTTTTTGTTTGAGACGGTGTTTTTATACATGGAAGAGCATGTTTTTAATTGAGAGAGACATTTAGGAAAAAACGTGGCTTTCTACATAGCCACTACCAAACAGTTATATATAGTTGACTGAATAAATTGTGAGTTCCATTAAACTGCCAACAAATAGGCCCCAACCGACATCAAATTCAATCTACCGAAATTCAAATTGTTTCAACGAAATAAGTCGAGATCCAATTAATGTTTATATGCATTCAAATCGCTTTGATACATCATTCGAGCAGACTCCATATGTTTACACTTGTGATTATTCGAGATAGAAACAAAGTTGTCTTTTTATCTTTCTCTTCTCATGAAGTCGTTATGCATCTCTTTCTTGTGGCTTCAACTCCCTTTTCCCTCACCCTTTTCATCTCTTGGCACCATTGTTTATATCTTGTTTCAATTGCTTCTAATTCTATCCTTGCTTTAACCTTATCGCCGCATTCACATAATGAAAGAAATGAACCGTTGCTCGATAACCCCCTCGATTTCGAGATCCCAATATTCAGATCCGCAAAACTAGACCCTGAACCAATAAAGCTTCCCGGCTCCGACTCAAGTGAAACTTCTGAATCTTTACTGATCAGAGATCCATGCTCGGACACACTCTGCTTCTGTTTAACATACAAAAGTTCCGAGTTATAACCAAGGAATGGAACAAAACAAGAATGTGCAACCATCTTTTTTTGTTACCCGTGGGTGTCTAAGCCAGCTTACGCGCACCTGGACTAATCTCAAGAGCCCTGAAGAACAGCCAGGAAAATCCTAGGTGGCCTTGCAGAACTCGGATCGGTGACCTCTGAGGAAAATCCCCAAAGGTCCAAGGCTTATTGGCAGTTGAGCTAACCCCACAAGATGCGCAACCATCTTAATATAATACTAAATGGAACCTTAAGTTATAGGACCAAAAACCATTGTCAGGCGTTGGCTGTTTGGCAATTGCTGAATGGTTTGGTGCAGAATGATTAAGTGGTCAGAATGATTAAGGGGCTCTCATGATATAATGTAAAATGATATATAATTGTTTGGTAATTGTGTACAATGAATTAGGGCTCTTAATGATTAAGGGAGATCCATGATACAAAATCATTCAGAGGGTTTTAGAACCATTAAGAGACAGACTTTTTTTTTGTCAAACAAGATTCACCTCTTAACGATTCAGAGGTTGCCTCTTAATGGAACTATTAAGAGATAAACAAACAACCCCTAAGTTGTTAGAACGAAATTAGATGACCTAACAAGTTCTGGTGACGAAGTTGGATAACCTATGACGAAAAATAATTCGTTCTATTAATCTTTTTATAAGTCACTTTTAGAAAGCAACTGATTCTTATGACACTTATCAAAAGTGTCATAGAAAAAGACTAATAAGACGCTTTACTTTGTGTGTCATACCAAATTACCCAATTTTTCGTCGATAGGATCTCTTACGTCATCAAACTTCGTCCTAACAACTCACAGTAATACCTTTGTATAGTACGACGTTTTTGGTGCTATAAACTTAAAGTCCATCAAGTACCCTATTAAGACACGTGGGTATAGAAAGGCTCATTTTGTGCAGTAGAAACTCACTTTTCCCGGTGATAAAGAAGCCAAATCCGTGGATTCAGCCATTTTAGCAAATAAATACGATTAAAACAGGCCTTACAGGCATGTTCGTTGGTTCAGGGGGGTCCGTATTTGATTTCGGGCTGTCATGTGTATTTGTCCCTCCATCTGATAAGCAACCCGATGAAGGTTGCTTGGATGAAGGGGTACCATGTGTCTTTGTCCCTTCATGCGAACAATATGCTGATGAAGGTTTCCAGCCCGGTATAATCTTCGAGATCAAGTTGTTAATGAACTCGGCAATAAAAGTCGCATCATGCTCCACTAAATCCAGTTGTTCAACCATCTCATTTGCAACGGACGGCGCGGTGTCCCTATCCGGGTAAAATGTGAAATGTATATTCCTCGCCTGACCTGCAACCAACGACGATGACAACTTTGCTTCATAAGCTCCATAAATAGATTCATGTGATCGCTACTTAGGGTGCGTTTGGTAAACGAAACTAGACATGACAGACAAAAACTTCTTGTCCCACGTTTGATGCGACATTTTAGACAAGATTAGTAAATTACTAAACTACCCATGTCAATTTAAAACCTTAAAACCATGTTTGCGTACTAAACGCACCCTAAAAGGATGCGATAACTAGAAAATAACAACTATTTACTACTTGGGTCAGCAATACGCATGGTCAAAGAAACCGAGTTGTTGTCGTTCTTGGTGCCTTGCAAACTGAACTCGTTTTCTTGATGCTTCCTATGAAGTTCAACGACCGGATGATCTCCACCGTTGCTGGTGTCGACCGACTCGTTCAATCGGCTTAACGCTCTAGGAACCTGGGTTGGATTTTTCGGATTCTCACAGTCGAGAAACGGATCTTTTAGAAGTTCCATAGCAGACAACCTTTGCTTTGCTGGAACCAAACATTTCTCTATGAACTCCCTAACTTCAGGATCACTCACTTTCTGAAGAGAAGCAGGTTTAATGCCCTGTTCATCAACCAATCATTTAAAAACGTGACAACATATGAAACCCCATTAGATTACTTTCCAAAAATACCCTTGAAAAGAAATGAGGTTTCAATATATTGAAAAGAAAAGGTTCAAGTCTAGACGGGTACAGATTGCCCCTACTACAATAAAATTGGGTTTATATGACGCAAAAAATGTGTAAGCATCCTAACAGATTGTTTTATAAGACTTAATTTATAAAGTGTCATATCTAAAGGTGTTGTAGTAAGTTTATAGGACGTTTTTGAGTGTCGTAACAAGTTTTTTAGGACATTTTTTTTTATAAAAAGACGTGGCATAAGCCATTATGTAGGACACTGTATGAAAAAGTGTCATAAAAACAAGTGTCCTGTAAAAAAGATGTGTTCGTTACGATGCTTTGTATTAAGTTTTATTAAAAACTTGTTAAGACACCCAAAAGCGTCCTAAAAACTTATTACAACACCTTTAGATAGAGAGATTTACCGTTTGGTCCTACAAAGTTAAGCTCTATAAAATGGTCTATTAAAACACCTAGAAGTTGTTGGTGTCGACTTTGTTGTAGTTCCCAGAATGTCAAGTCCCTAGAATGGTAGACTTGCTCCGATACCATGTAAGAATATGTGGAACCCCACTAGCTTACTCTCCAATAGAGCCCTTTTGAAGCGTAATCTAACGAGGTTTCACATATCTTCACATGGTATCAGATCGGAGAATCTTTAAATCTTGATTCCATTAAGGACTAGGATGAATCATAAGTTAACTCACAGCAGTAACTTTCTTGTAGATCTGAGCTGGATTCTTGCATTCACTGTAAGGGTACTCAAAAGTTACCATTTCCAGCATACACATCCCAAATGAATATATATCAGCAAGTTCATTATATTCCTCTTCATACAGCTCTGGTGCCATGAATTCAGGGGTTCCTAATTTGCCAAATACAAAGGTAAGAATAAAACTAGGATCAGTAACTGTAAGATTTCTTGTTCTTACCGATGAAAGTCTTAGCTTTCGGCTGTCGCAAAACCGTTGCCAATCCAAGGTCTCCGATCTTGAGTTCGCCATGGTTTCCGTTAACGAATATGTTGTCACATTTTATGTCGCGATGAATAACAGGAGGGTTCTGACTGTGAAGGTAGTCAAGACCATGGAGAATTTGTCTTGCCCAGTTCTTAATTGCTTTCATATCCACACATTTATGCTTCGTACGGTATCTACACGAAGGAATATCATACGTAGCTGAGAGGATATCATGAAGAAAAAATAAAGAATTCAAGTCGAACACGCTACATCAAAATCGGCTTTTATTGAATACAAAGTATGTCTAAATGTCCTAATATATTGCTTTCAATATAGGATTTTGCACAATTGTGTGGTCTTATAAACCTGAGTCCTATACAACACTTGCTTGTTAGCAATTTTAATGGGGCTCACAGCTTATTTGGTAAGCTATTCTGTTTGGGAGTGACTTAATATATAGAAAGTGACTGCTTTTATCCAAACATGCCTCTCCAAAAACATCAATTGATACACAGATTAAACCACACAGATAGCTTTATACCGATTTTGTTGTAGTGGATAGAAGACTTACTGTCGCAGGCTTCCTGATGTGAAGAGCTCTGTGATCATATTTAAAGTCTTCTTCTTGATATCAATCCAAGAATCAAAAAACTTGATGACGTTATCGTGTTTCAATGATCTAAGAAGAAGAACTTCTGAGTACAACTTCCCGAAATCATCGGAAGACTGCAGCACGTCATCGATCCTCACCCGATTCCACGCTACTTCGATTCCATCAAGTCGATCGAATGCTTTATAGCTAAAAAAACAAAGGTAAAAGGGAAATCATATCCATCTCTTTCGAAACCGAAAGAATGTATGAAAGCTGAAGAAACCATACACTTTCTTGAATGTCCCTTTGCCCAAAATTTCAGGGTACTGTAAAATTAACAAGAAACACCATCAATCTTTGTCCCACCAAACAAAAAGATTGATATTTTTAGGGGAAAACATACTTGATCATAATCAATGGAAATTTCAGTACAGAAATACCCTAATATATCTGCCTCTTGGGTCCTTTTCGACATAATCAACCTCCATAGCAGCTCCAGCTTCAATCAACCCATTGTTATATATACAAGTCTCCATTTTCCCAGGAACCAGAAATCCACGGCCGGAATCCGACGAACCAGAAACCAACCCACCACCGGAGTTCATGATCATGAAAGAGGTAGAGGTAGAAGAAGAAGAAGAAGAAGAAGAAGAAGAAGAGGGCGATGTCGTTTCGTTGGTTTGGAAGATTATAACCTAGCAATCATAGAGACCCAAATCCACGATGGGTCTCAGAGAAAGCCTCCGAAGCAATTGAATACGAATCGAATGCCGATCGCGTGTCCAATCGAGATCGGCATTCGAAATAAGCATCAACATTGCCAAGATTTCTTGATGATGAGAAAGGTTTGATCAGAATGTGGAGTTTTTTACATGTCATCACAGCTTCCATGGAGGAGACAAGTCTTTTTTCCTTGAAATCCTCCAAGAACGAAATCAAACTATCATCCTGAAAACACCCCCCTTCCTTCCTAACATGTTTTTACCTCGTGTAATCACCATTTCCTTGTTAGATTTTCCCTTTTTTTCTGTTAAATTTGAAGAAGAAACAAAACCCAGAATGGAAAGAATCAATTGGGTGTTGAATTAAGGATGAAAAAAAGAAGATTATGGATGAGGAAATGGTGTTGATAGTTTGGGGAAGGAAAGGAGAGGATGGTGAGCAAAAGGAAGCTGAAGATGAAACATTAGGAATGGGATTGAGATAAATAGATGGAAAGTAGAAAAGGAGAAGAAGGAAGGATTTGTGAGTTTTGAGAGAATGGAAGAACAAGCGGGTGGCGGAAAAAGGGGACTCCACGGACACTTGGATGGTAGTATTACGTTGGTGTCGTCGAACCGAATGAATCCAAAAAAACAGTATTTGTATTTGCGGTGAACGTGGATCGAACACGTGACCTTCAGATCTTCAGTCTGACGCTCTCCCAACTGAGCTATCCCCGCCGTCTTGTTTATCAGTATTTTTTCAGGTTTATTAAAAGTAGCTTCTCTTTTGGCTTTGGTTCCTTGGAATCTAAAAGAAACCACGTGTGTAATCACATCAACTCTCCTTAAACCTAAAAAGTATTTTATTTTATTTTATTTTTTTCTTTTCTCCTCAAGATTCTTTCGTCTTAATATTTATTTTTCATTTTTAAGATTCTTTAATTAATTAAATTCAACCTACTCATGTTCTCTTTAATAATTGTTCTTTTAACTTTCATTATTTCTCTTTATTTGATTATAATTTTCATATTATCTGCATGCTACACCTCTATGATGGTATTTTTATTAATCCCTCTATTCAATTAGTTAGCCATCTTTATTCCCCAAATATCGTCATTGCTGAAACTACGTGAAACCCTAACAAGGGTTTATGTACAACAAATATCTAAAGTTTTTATTTTTAGTTATTAGGTGCTCCGTTTTATTTTCCTATTGAGGTCTATAAATATTGTTAAGAGACCTCTGGTGTGAAAAAAAATAATTTATATATATTAAAGAAGAAACCATGTGCAATGACGTGACATCTTCACAAAGCTAGAATGTGCTTTATTTTTTTTCTCTTTTTCTCAAGCTTCTCTCACCTTAATATTTATTTTTGAAATTTTTATTTTTATTTTTTGGAGACGATTTGTATTTTTGTTGATTTGAAGCATCATTCAATAAGATAAATCATAGTATAAATTTTTGTTTATGTAAGTATAGTATTTCGTCTTTTAGTCGGATGCATACATACTAAAGTTGGAATTATGTAGGCGTATGAATTTTTTTGTGTGTGGATAAAGTGATATATGAATCCTTGATGAAATAAGGTAACATTGTTTAAGCATAATAATCTATTTTAGTCTCTCAATTCATCCTTTCTATTTTTTTTGGGTGATTTGCATTTTTGTTAATTTGAGACGTCATTCAAGAAGACATGTATGATATGAGTTTTTGTTGATGTAAGTATAATATTTCGTCTTTTAATTGGAGACATTTACACTAAAATTGGAATTATGCGAGCATATGGATCCTCTTTTATGGTAAATTGATATATGAATCCATAATGAAATAAGATAACATTTTTTAAGCATATATAGAACATAAAAAAATAATTATTTTTTTGTTTGTTTATCCATGAACTTGATAAACGTTATGCTAGAATATTTTTGCATTGATATTAGAAGAGTGTATCAAGAAAGATGGGTTATGAATTTTCATATCAGTAATCTTTCATATGATTTTCAAGATGTCGGTGTTGATCGGTCTATTGTGATTTTTTTTCCTTCTTTAGTATTGAGCTTGAAAATTATTTTCTAATATTTTTAATTCTTAATCTTACTTTCTATTATTTTTGTAATGAGAGTATTACGAATGGAAAGGAAAATGCTCGCTTATATTTGCTAAGGATGTTAGTTTTTCCGTCATCTACAAGTAGATGAACAACATTGTACATACCGGTAGATCATTTAAATGATATCAATTTACTTAGTTCGTCAAAAAGTATGCGTCTCATCAGTACTTATAGTTTGAGCTCATTTTTTTGTAACATATAAAATGTTTTTTCATCAATGTTTGCTCTTCTTTTTTGAGTTTTTTACCTAGCAAAAAGTTGAAACGAAAAAAAATAGTGAAGTAATGTCAGACAACAACCGGTAAGTAGTTTCAGAAACTTTCGTTGGTCCCATGCAACAATAAAACCTAAGAAGTCAACTCTACTGGATGGATGCATGGTGTCTCCTTATATGCTGAATAGATATCAGACTATCTTTTAGTCTTAACATGTATAAAATTTATCTTTTAATTTTTTTAACAACCATGTCTACAACGGGCATCAAGGTAGAGAATGAGTATATATCGGTTGCAATTTACACTAAATTATCACCAACTACTATTGGAACCATGCTTCCACTGACATGTATGTCATTACATTTATTAACATTTCACATTATCCTATAACTAATTATCAGTACATATTACACATATCTCTTCACACATAATATTCGTATATTGTTGACTTTCAAGTCACGCTTGTTCGAACAACTAACCATACTTAATGTTGATAAACATATTCATTATCAATCAGACAAACATTGCATAAATTATCCACACCCCCTTCATTATTAATTATTACTCATTTTATTCATTTTACAACTTTATTCTTAAACAAATCTCTCTCTCTCTCTCTCTCTCTCTCTATATATATATATATATATATATGTGTGTGTGTGTGTGAATTAAAATTTCACTAATTAGATTTTATTAACTTTTTCAAATTATTTGAACATTATTTGTTATTGATTATATTAACAACTAACATATATTTATATAGACAATCTCCGGATGATTAACCAAAGTACTCATGCTACCGTGCAACACCCCGTTCCCACACTTGTTTGTTCGTGAAGTAACATGATATTTTTGGTCCTTTTTTCTTATCATTTTTTATTGTGTACAACCGCTTAACACATCACATTCCTTGTTCCTCTTTTCCAAGACACCGTGTCCTCTCTTTCCTCCACCAAAAGTCTTTATCACTATGCAAGACGGGTGGAGCATAAAGGAGATGGATGTCTAAGCAATTGAAAGAATCGTCCTTGACTCTACAACCACCATCTTCTTCCTTTAAACGCCACCCTATTCCTCCATTACAACACACTCTTTACTCCCTCTGTCCCCCTTTTCTTCCTCTCGCTTTAACAAAATCAAACTGATATCATTTGCAAGTTCACAATGCACGTCCACTCTAACCTTATACGGTCATGGGGTTGGATTCTTCAAGGGATATACCATTTAGGCAAATAAACTAAGGTATAACATAATTGGTTTTGGTGCAATTTGCTGTATTAAAATTGTACGGCACTGTTTGCTCACACAGATATTAAAAACTCGACACCTATCAAGGGAAAAAGTTGTATTATATTATCTTGTCTATTCATTAACATCGAGACTACGTCTTGGTATCTAAGTTAGTTTAACGGTCAATTTTTAAGTTATTTATATTTATTATCAAAGTAACGATTGCCACTAAATTCCAAACACAATTTATAACATCCAAGAATACATTTTCATGACTAGGACCTGATCTTGATGTATTTTCTTTGTTACTTCCTTCTCAAGAAACATAACACCATGTACATCTATTCAAATCTTGTCAAATTCTTATATGGTGGATGATATTTAGGAAAACCAAAAGAAAATTGAGAGAGAAGGGTCATTTGAAATTTTGGGTTGCACATCCTTCCCGATCGATCAAAACATTTTTGCAAAATTTCCACCGTCAACCCTGGTATGATACAAAACTTGAGAGTTTTTATGATTCGCAACATATTTTGCTTTTTTGAGGGTACAGTTTTCGTGGGATTTTGGCTATTAATCATTTATTCGGTTTGGGAATAATTCGCAGATCATAATCCCATTTCATCAAGAAAATCTTGGTGAAGTTGATAGTAATCACGGAAGATGATGTACGTGAAGGCGACACCGACGACGGATCTGAATCGAAACACGGACTGGTTCACGTATCCAGGAGTATGGACAACGTACATCTTGATCCTGTTCTTTTCATGGCTTCTGATTCTTTCGGTTATTGGTTGCACCCCTGGCATGGCATGGACCATCGTTAATCTCTCCCACTTCCTGGTAATTACGCATAACATCATTTATTTTTCTTTTAAGCATTTTGGGTTTTAGGGTTTGTGGCTTTCGATTTGTAAGGGAATGTGTTATTAGAAGGTGTTTGATCTTTGATTGGTTTAATTTATGTAGAATACCGACTTCAATATTGTTAGTGAATCAATGTCATCCATTTCTCAACTATTTAATACGGTTTTGGTTGAAGTTGGAAAAATTGCAACCCAATGAGATGCTTGATGTCCTAGATATTTTGAATTTTATCTATTTTTGGGTTTAGATTTGTCTAATTATCAAGTTCTGGGTAGTTGGTTGATGTTGAATTCAAGACTCACTTGATTATGTTTGGACAAAGATGAGATCTTGGAATTTGGCACCTGATGAAATGATGATGCACTCAGAGCATTGGGTTTTTAGTTATAACTTGCTTTGAGATGTAGTGTGTTGTGGAGGGTTGGAATACTTGATTGGAATCTTGCACTTGGATGATCTGTTGAACATAGAAAAAAGAGGATGCCCGTTAGCTTTTCAGGAAATTTGTATTCCAACAAAGTATTTCTGTTTCTTTATTGACTTGACTATGTTCCGTTCCATGTATTCCTATATCTATATATCCAATGGCTTTCTTTTGTCCAGAGAATCCTTTGGCTTAGATCAGTGTTTTTATTGAATTCTCACCGTTCTAGCATGCAGAATGAGGTTTTCTTTAAAGACTTATGGCATTATGCTCAAGTATCTCTTAACCTAGCTACGTTAGGCACTTATGCACTTAAACCGTCGTTGTAGCTCACTATAACATAATGGCATGCTAGGATTGCCTAGGACAAAGAATGACCAAGATTCTCTGTTTGTCGTTGTTGATCGTTTTTCCAAGGTGGCACACTTTATTCCATGTCATAAAACTGATGATGCTTCCCACATTGCTGAATTGTTCTTTAAAGAGATAACGTACTATTGTGAGTGATAGGGACAGTCAAATTTTTGAGTCATTTCTGGCGTGTGCTTCGGAGTAAACTGGGTGTTAGCTTTTATTCTCTACTGCAAGTCATCCCAAATTGAAAGACAGATTGAGGTAGTTAATAGAACTTTGTCTTAATTACTTAGAGTTGTTATTTCAAAGAACTTGAAAGTTGGGAGAGTTGCTTGCCATTTGTTGAGTTTGCATATAATTGGAGTGTGCATTTTGCTAATAACTATTATCCTTTTGAGATTGTGGATGGCCTCAATCCCTAAATAATATCTAGAGCTGCTTTTAGTTTTTATCCTTCCAAAAGCAAATTTGCTTTTGCACAGGATTGTTGGGCTTTCATGTCGTTAATTGGGAATGCTTTGATAATGGCCCGTTTGCAGCAATTTTATCATTCTACAAGTTCAATTTAGGCGTTGCCTGTCCCTCTAGTCTACATTCAAAAACTCACAGACAGAGATAATGAAGCTTCAGCCTTGTAGCAGTATGATGGTTCTATGTTGCATGCAAAAAGTGACATTCACATTTTCTAGCTTTCTATTGGTTGGATATTGATTCAATTAAAATGTTCTCAATGCGTTATATCCATGGTGAATGGCTAATAAGTTGTTTTTCTTGTTAGGTTACATATCACTTTTTCCATTGGATGAAAGGAACTCCGTTTGCTGAAGACCAGGGGATGTATAACAGGCTGACCTGGTGGGAGCAGATAGACAATGGGAAGCAGCTTACTAGAAACAGAAAGTTTTTAACCGTCGTACCTGTGGTGCTGTAAGTAAACTTATGTAGATTCCTTCTAGCCTAAAGTGGATATCATCAATATCATATATCTATACTATTGTGAATGCTAATAGATAATGTTCTGGATTTAGCCAAGTTATCATAGACCATTTTTATGGTATTCTTGTCTTTATTACCTTCTTGTCCTCAAAACCAAACCAAGTGTGCCCAATATATCCTAGCAGGAGGTAGGGTCTGGGGAGGGTATGATGTGCACAGACCATACCTTTACCCCTAGCCCCTAGGGATAGAGAGGTTGTTTCTGTGAAGACCACCGGCTTATGATACCATTTTTTTTTCTTCTTAGAAGGTTTAGGATGCGACCAAAACAGTTACTTGAACAAACAGAAAGCAAGGAGAAGTTAGAAAAGCTTGCGAGGAAGCAACATTAACAAAAGGTGTAAAAATAAAAGAGTGCACAAAAGGCCTCTGATAAGACGGAAAACTAGAGTGTAGAACATAAAAGACAGTACATAAAGAGGGTAAAACACACATACAAAGGGGCACTCCTATCTGCAGGTCAAAGAGGCTCTGCGCCACGTATCCTAGAAGGTACCCTATTAACCTACTCTACCAAAATCTGATACCCTAATGCGCCATCTGCAAGACCTCCTATCGGAGGTCATGTCGTCGGTCAGGTGTAAAGCTGCCATGTTTTTGGCCAACCTGTTTGGTTTTTTTTCCTATTTATCAAAGGCACCTCACTTCTTCTAGCCAAGTCCTTTGCTAGTTTTTTGTTAGACATAAGCATTAGTGTTAAATCTGGATTTGAGGCATCATTTACATGCATGGTGTTCATTTTGATGTCATTGTGTTGTTTGGTAGCCTGGGTTCGCTACTCAATCTTTGCACTATTATTTCCATGCTTATGAGATAGGAAGAAAAAAATGACCACTCTATAAGATTTTGCTAGAGAAAATACGTTTTGTTTGATGATATTCGACATGGAATGATTGCTACTTACTAGAACCTGAGTGGCTCAAGACCAAGTATGGTGATTCCATTAAGGTTGTGTTTGGTACGCGGGGGGATTCAGACCGATGAGGGACGTAGGAATTGCCCTTAACTGTCCGGAAGGCTGAAATAGCTTTCTCGGGAGCCTCTGGGAGGTCGGGGTATTCAATCCCGTGATACTCAAGGAGCAGGCAGAACGGGACATGACAATACGAAACTTCTTGTCTCACGTTTGGTGCGACATTAGATTGGGACAGGACAAGAGCCGAGTGGGACAACAATTTTTTTGTCCCACCAAAATAGGTGGAACAAAAGTCGGGGAGATGAGACAAAATTGGTAAATTACTAAACTACCCATATTAAATTAAAACTCTAACCTTCCATAATTCTTTCACCCACCTATCTCGCTCTCGCCCGCCCGCGTACCAAACGCTTCCTTAGTGGACATGATGATTCCTTAGACATGTTCTTGATCATTTTTTAAGTTCACCTAAATCTAAAGGCTAACTACCAAGAGTGGCTGGAAAAATGGTTAGTTTCTGATCCTTTCACATTTTAGGTTTGCTACATGCTTTATTTCCCTGTCCCAAGTGCACAATTTGCTTGTGTTTCCTGGGAATGAGTTTTGCACTTGACTACCAAAAAAGGATGAAAGACAAAACTTCCGGTGTGTATGATTTATGTGACATATGCGCAACTTCTTGGAAGAATTATGAAGTCAAGAAAGTCAAGAAAAACTTAGAATAAAAACACAAATGAAAAATAAAGAAAAGTCATGCCACTTTTTTGAGCATCTCTCAGTTTGTTCCACACCAAACTCTTCGATATCTGAAGACACTCAAAACTTCAGGATATATTTTGTCAATTGCACAGGATGGCTTGTGCTTAGTAAATGTCTAAATGTATTAATTGTGCTTTTGCTTTTCTTTTAATAATCACAATAGTTACAGGGTACCTCTCTCCTACTTCCATTTTTCTTGGATGGGGTTGTGGTGGGTTTGAAGGATAAATGAAGTATGGTGCAATGTAGGTCCGATATAGACATAGTAACATGCGTACAATAAAGCAATTTTCTCTCTTATTTCTAATAAATTACTGTTAATCCATCTTTTAGCCATCCCTAGCGTTTATCAAGACTCGAGAGAACTTCAAATTTTAATAGGAATAATACAAGACGCTCCCTTTTACAAGATCATGTTAGTTTCTTTTGTCCTTGGATTGAATTTTTTTTGGTAGTGACAAATAAGGTTGTAGCCTATTGGTGTCTCTTCTATATTTGGAACGAAAGCTTTGTGAAGTTGAGTATCAGTTAACTTTTAGGCTTTAGATAATGGCACCAACTGTTGATTGCTTTCGGGTTCAGTAACAGCATGATGTTTAGATATGTAATCAAGTGTCATAGTTGGATTAAATTTTGAATTGTAAACCTAAAACCATCTTGTTCATAATTTGAATACCGATTACCAAAGCCTTTAATCTTTTAGGTTTTTTTAGTGTGCTTGTTGGTATAGCAAGATGCGAAGACATCAGCTGGAAAGAGACAATTTAACTTGGGACAATCATACCCCCCCCCCCCCAAAAAAAGTCCTATTTCAAATTTGACACGAAAACGAAAATAAAGTTGTTATTTTAGCCTTTCTTTTTAAAAAAGTCAAATAAGAGTCATATTGTTAACTTTTAGTTGTCAAGTGTAAATATAGATTTAACTTCTTTCTAACTTTTTATGTAATCGAGTGTATACAATACTGTAGTAAGAGGTTTGAAGGTGATTTTGGTAAAAATACATGGTTTTGTAGACAATGGAAGATCTTAATATGGTTTTGGCTTCAGGGTGAACGTTAAAAATGCATGCAGTTACTTTTAATGTGTGTGGATTGCTTTGTATGCTTCAGTCATGAAGTTAAAGATTATAAACTACATAACGGAAGAGCTTAACATATTCAAATATATGATCACTTATATTTTTCTTTCACTTTCAGGTACTTAATGGCCTCACACACAACTGATTACCAGCATCCAATGCTGTTCCTCAACACAGTTGCTGTACTTGTGCTGGTTATTGCCAAGTTCCCCAATATGCATAAGGTCCGTATCTTCGGAATTAATGGAGATATGTGACCACTGACTGATGCTGATCACTCATCAAGTTTGGAACCCCTCCCCCCTTCTCTAGTTCTTAACTCTTTTTGTTCTGAAATGGGTAATATCACTGTATAGTAAGTCAAGATTGGAAAAAAGGTTATCTTGCTGTGTACCATTTTTGTTTCTCTGCCTTCCTGTTCTACGAGATACCAAAAATAACATGATGAGTCATCTTTGTATAGTGGAAGTTTACTGCATTTCAGGAGATTCATATCAGAATTATGTTATACATCTAAATTGCTCTTTGTTTTTGTTCGTATCTTGATATCATGGCCCCTTGTTTTTATTCATATCTTCCACTGTATTCTTGATATTTTCTTGAAAATTTGCATACTCCAAATTCTTGGAGATGGAGTCCTGTTTGATTCAATATGGCAATTCGAATTAGACGTACCTTTTGTACTGAAAGAATCTAACCCAACAGAAGTAGTAGTCATAAACAAATATGCAACTGAAACAGATGTCAAATTGGTGCTCATATTGCTATTTTCAATTTATGGTAGCTTTAGAAAAACCATATTGGTGCTCATCTTGTGTACCTTGGAAACCTAAGTCCTCCATGAGTGAAATCTTGAGAAGAGAACTGAAAGATTAATTGGTTTTGCCATTGATGAGGAAATTGAGTAGCTGATATGGATCCTTGGTTCTTTCTCGAGCCACATTCAACACAAACATTTCTGGGGATTTCAAGCCTTGAAAAAGTATGTTGATTGAGTTGAGAGTTAATTGATGTAGTACCAAAGGGTCATTGGCCAAGTTGTATACGGGTTACTCATAAATCCTAGCCTCCATAGAAACCACCGTTCAAATCTCAGTAAAGATGAGAAGTGTCTCGGTAAGAAAAAGAGAAGTTCCTCTTTTGCAGTTGATTTGAGCTTCACGTGTCACCCATCCTGAAATCAGAACTGTGCACACACAGGATTTAAGATTGGTACAATAAGAGAATTCATTGTTTGCAGGCTATTATTACATTGAAAACAGAGCAAATCCATGAATTCAACAGGAAACAGGATTGTTCCAACTTCCAAAAGAGTGCTTTAATGATGTTTAGCGTTGAATCTTTTGTTTGGCAAATACTATTTTGAATTGATTTGGATTTGTTGAGATTACAATCAGAAATAGGCATACCACCGTTACAGTAATATGACCGATAATACTACTTTTTTAAAATTACTTTTAAGAACTACTAAATTCGAAATAAAAATAAATAATCAACTTGTAGCATTTCACGAATGAAAATAAGAATCAATGAAATGAAAATTGTAATAAAACATAGACATGATTGATGAGATTAATATCTATCTCGATACTTAACCAATCCATAGCGAAACAATATCGACATATGAGAACTAGTGCTATATCGTTATATCATTACTAAAAAATCCAACCGTTGGGAATCCGAGTGTGGGACAATGGAGTTCATGAAAATCACTAAAAAGAACTTGGATCAAGAATATTTCGACCATATATCTGTGTGGGTTACACGAAAGCTACTCAAGTATAATTCAGATAAACAATATCAATTTAGGTAGAAAAGCAAGAGCAATAAACACAAAAACTGCATAAGGGGTCGTACATTAACACCGAGAATTTAAAAAGTAAACAGTTACCAAAATTTATGAGCAATTACGAGAGGTTACAAAACCGTTTTGTAGCATAGGAACATATAGCATGTTTACCCACTCATGACTCGCCCTCCTGTGAATAACATTGTAGATAAACACACTGATTAACATCAGTAAATGCATCTACTAATTCATGCCATTAATGACACACATTATCTCTCATCAGTGCCGATAAAGGAACATTCATCGTTATTGCTGAAAAGAACGTGAATGATAGTGCCCAGGGTTTTATATTTATGAAGGTATTTTTTGTCATGTTAAAAATCTTGATTAGAAAGGATTTCAATTTTATGTTTTTTACGAAGGAATGATGAAATCCATGGTTGAGGGAATGTTTGAAGTTCAATTCTATTCCATGAGGTAAACGTAAGAATTAAATTTGGTCAACGAAATTGACGATTCCAATTTCTATCAGATTTCATCGGAATCCAACAAATCATATCCGGATGTTAGAAGGTTTCTGTTAGATCCTTTAACTATTTAAAAATGACACGATATGTCCCTGACATTTATGAAATGATCAAATAGAGCCGAGTTAAAGCCAGCTACCTCCGACTCCGAGGACCCTAATCAGAAATGGGTACAGTAATACCGCCATGGAAACAGCTTCTTCTCAATGCACTGCAGTCTAATTCCCACCTCAGACACTCTTCTTATTTTCAACTGGTACGCATATATTCATAACATGCCATTTTTTTATATTATCCAAACACCTTCTATCACAAATAAAAGTGCTCTGCATTTCTGGTTTTACAGGCAACAATAGGATCTAACGGCAGACCCGCTAATCGCACTGTTGTTTACAGGTATTACACACACAAGCACGAACTATATGGTGCGAGATTTGGGCGTTTGTAATCTTGTTTTATGCAGGGGATTTCAAGATACAAACAATAAAATTCAAATGAACACCGACTGCAGAAGTCGCAAGGTGATTATTTCGGGTTACAAATATTAGTCAGAGGTGAATTAGGTATTCAAAACTGGGTCTTGATTTTGAAAAGTTTAACTGCAGATTGAAGATCTTAAACAATGCCCATTTGCTGAAGTATGTACAGATTGATTCCCTATTTTTGGATTGCATATTGGTTGCATACCTTAATATATAATCAAGTTTATTACTGTGTAAAATTTCTTTAGAATTCTTTCTCACATTCGAAATCACGTGGTTGTGATTTAGATTTGTTGGTATTTCACGGATTCATGGGAACAATTTCGAATAAATGGTGCGGTTGATGTAATTGATGGGTCAAACCCTGATCCCATGAAACTTCAGGTAGCCCACTTTTATAATTTCTTTGGTTCAGCATCACTTATTTTTCTTGAAATTCTTCTAAATGAAAACAATATTTATAATACCATTACTCCCTAATGTTCACACTGAAAGTTCAAGGATACATGTACTGTCGAATGTAGCTTCAGAACTGTGGTTCCCAATATCTCATGTTGACAATGTTGCACTAAATGGGACACTTATTTCCAAACAATTTCTTTTACAAAGTTGAGCTGAAATTGTGGTACTTCGGGAATATTTGAAAAAATTAGAGCAAATATCTGTGTTCATCATCTCTGGAATCTATGGTATCCTTCGGATAAATGATCTCAAATGAGTTTTTGATTAGGAGCATAAAATTTATAGTTCAATGACCTGCATTTGACCTGCCCTTTTGTGCAAAACAGTTTGCTCCTGGTTTAAAACAGCTTGCTCCCGTAAAAACTTAGTAATACACTAGAGGGTCATTTTTGCAAAACACTCATTTGTAGACCGTCATTCAGCTAAATAACCCGGAATCTATGATGCAGCAAAGAGAGAAAGCTTGGTTTGCTAGTTCACCAAAGTCCAGGCTCCAGTACTTGGGACCGAATCCAGGGCTTCCCTCTCTAGGAGATCAACCAACCGAAGTGCCAAGCTCATTGGATCCTTCTGCTGGTCCTGTTGCAGCTTATTGCTTACTAGTTCTAGACCCTGATCAGGTCCAAGTTCTTTCTAGATCTTATATTTATAGTTATATTTCATTCATTATAATTGTAGGAGTTTCCATTATACACAGGTTGATTACTTGAATTTGAAGAGTAATGAGAGGATGACCTTCTCCAGGATGAATGCCAACGAAGAGAATTCTTGGACTTCTGACAGAGTCAACCCCTGATCTTTTCCATGTTAGCTAATCTGTTGTATGCTGTAAAAAGCTTCGATTAAATAATTTTTCATTGGTGTTGGGAAAACCTTTATCAATTGTCACTACGGTGTAGAATATGTTCAATTTTTATGATCTAAACGGAATAAAAAGGCTTCTCGTGTATGATGTCATGTGATTTCTTGATTCTGTTCATACTCCATATCATTGAAATAATACCACAACTCTGAAATGATTAAAAGGTGTTTGGTTGCACCTTAGCTCTATTTATTCACCCGCTTGGTTGATGAGTATGACATATGAGGTCAAATGGACTGATTTTTCGTTTCAATTTCAACTTCTTTCAGGTTCTTGAGGGAGGAGGCTTGTAGTTTCATAGGGAGCTACATAACGAGGTATTTGTTACTTTGATTAAAATACTGTATCTTAGGATGCCTTTTGGCTTATTCTGTAGCTTTAATATAATATATAGTTTAGGCACACTAACTTTCCCAAATTATGGTTCTTTAATCCAATTCTCTACCTATAATGGCCACATAACACGAGGAAGGATTTGATGTATTTGGAATATCGTCAAAACTTCCATTTTTATTAAATTGAAACATGGGTTTCTATATAAGTTACATCACTTGTTCTAAGAAAATGAAATCACACTTAATGCACACTTGTTTGAAAGAATCTTTTACTTCAGAAAAGATCAAGCCGTTATCATCCATATGATCGGAAAGACCTAATTAACATCTGGGCATATCTGCTGGGGGGTGAGGAAGTGTCTCCATTGGCCCTTGTCCGTTCTTCACTATCAATGCGACTGCCAATCCCCAAGACAAGTGTATCTCCAAGTGACAATGCATAAACCAAACCCCTAAAACATTTCAAAATGAACATTAAAATAAATACCCAATTGCCCATTGATCTTCTTAGTGTGTTTCTTTAAGTATATACCTGGATTATCAGCAACAAATCTGATTGCAGCCCATCCACCAACTGGTACGCCGATTGTGTTCATGTAAGGTGGGTCCACCAAGTTAAAAATTGCAGTTTGTGGGTTGTAATTCCCACTACCATACCCTACGACATAGAAGCTATACCCATGAAGATGAATTGGGTGGTTTTCTGTTGTGATCGTCCCTGTGTCCTGTAATATGAGTTGCACCCTGCTCCCAAATTCAAGAACTTTTGTTCTAGTTCCGTTCATTGATCCTGTGTTGTTAGGAGGTGAATTAGGTGCCCCATTAACAAAATCATAGAACCTAAGTGGAGAACCTGGGAAATCCTCAGTGAAATGGCCATTGATATGGTCATAATAAGCTCGTAAGATAGAAAAATTAGGTCTAATAAAACTGTTGTTATTCATCGAAGCAGCCATCACGCCACCATTAACGCCTTGACAGTTCTGATTTGGTGTTCTTGAACCGCACTTGTTGACATTAAGTCCAATAGTAAAGAAAAGATTCGTGTCTATCTCTTTGGGCACATCGGCAATATCAAGACTTTTTAAACCATCCATGACAGTTTTAACGGCTAGATTATCGTCGAATCTAGGTAAAGGGGCTGGTAAAGCCACACTATTGGGTGTGGCACCTAAATATTGAAAGTATGCAATCGATGTTATATTTTGAAATGGGACATTCTTGGCTGACATATAGGGCCCCATGGCCATGGAGTATCTTCCTATCTTCTGATTGGCTGTGACCAGAACATTGAGTGTATGACCTGGTCCAAGCATAACACGATCAGTGGTGAATGGCTTTGTGTACTCTCCATCGGCTTCAACGATTGTTAATTTGTGGTTAGCAATTGTGAAGAAGCTCTCCATGTTCAAAAGTGCACCGATCAGCCTTAACATGTAAGTTTTTCCAGGTACAACATTGATCTTGTACACATCTGAAAAAGAAAGGAAAATAAATTAGCATTCAGACATCCGCATATACCACCTAGAGTGCGTTAGGTATGTGGATGGGTCTGGACAGAACTAGACAGGTGAGAGTGAGGTAGGCGGGTGGAAGAATTATGAGAGGTTTTAGGGTTTTAATTTGACAATCTTGTCTCCTCTCCCTGATTCTTGTTCCACCTATTCTGGTGGGGCCAAAAACAATGAATTTTTGTCCTACTCAGGTCCGGTCCTGTCTTAAAGTCTGTTTGTTAGCAGCTTAATGAGCTTAATGGGACTCGGCTTATTCAATCAACTATACATAACTGTTCGGTAGTGGCTTAAAGATATAGAAAATGACTTATTCAGTAAGCTTCGAGAGGAGAGTTTTATGCAGAAAGCCAAGTTTTTTCCTAACCTGTCCCTCCCAATTAAAAAATATGTTTCATTCATCTATGAGAAAACCCTCCTAAACAAAACCTTCCCAATGTATACAGACAGATTAATCCATACAAACAACTTTATCCATACATGACTTGGTGAAAAACCAACCAAACGGCCCCTTAGTCTAATGTTGCGTCAAATATTAGAATAAGTTTTTTGTGTTGTCACGTCCTGTCCCATGTACCAACACACCCCTAGTGAACAATATCTGTTACCATGAAAGTGAGATAATTTCTAATATCAGATTGTGTGTTTGCAATTTTCTTTATGCACTGGACGATGAAGGTGCCTTTACTGCAAAATGCAGGGTGTTTCTATGGAAAAAAACATAAAAAAAATTGTAAAATAGAATAAGATTTCCCGTTTGATATAATGAGTACCATTTGTAGAGCAGTTGTAGTTGGGGCCAGGGTGACCGTTGATGGTATAAGCATCCGCTACTGGAGAACCTCCACCGCTAGTTGTAACATTCTTTTCAAGCTGCACTAGATCTCTCTGCCAATACTCCCCTGCAAGAACAAAAGGTGAACTATGATACTCTAATTCTTTTGTTAAAATGCAAGGTTAAATGGCGTTTGTTTAAGTTCATGCAGACTTACCTAGAATTACGGTATGCTCTTCATAAGGGTATTTAAAGGGGTAGGGAACCCCTGTTTTGGGGTAGATGATAAGGGCACCATAAACGGTTGCTCTAAGCCACGAAAAATGAGCATGCCAGAAAAGGGTACCCTTTTGCTTCACTAGAGTAAACTCGTAAGTGAAAGTCTGTCCAGATTGAACAGGGCATTGAGTAATGTAAGACGGACCATCTGACCAGCAAGATAGCATCTGTCTAACACCATGCCTAATATTTGGATGAAATAAAAGTGTTAGATTCTATCAGAAAGATTTAAAAACCAAATCAAACGAACCCAGTATATCCCACACAAGTGTTATATACCAGTGAATTGTGGCATTGTAGGGTGTCTCATTGGTGAGTTTGACGATAATCCTGTCATCTTCTTGGGCATAAACAACCGGTCCAGGATACATCTGGTTGATGGTTACAATTTCTCTGGTGCTACAAAGCTTGTTGACCTTTAGCATCTGGACCTTAAAGTCGTAGAATCTGGTTGATCCTCCCTTTGGCCATTGTGCCATGGCATGCAGCATGTTATGAGCACACAGAAACAGTAAGCTTATTAGGAGATAGTTGAATGAATTGACCAATTTGGCCATGGCCATTTTGGATACACACCTGGAGAGGCAGATTTGTGAAGGGGAGGAGTGAGGATATAACAGCAGGGTGGGAGGCTTTTTAATCAAGAACTTAGACCATTTTTTGTTCTTTTTAAAAGAAATATTGTTTTTAAATAAAAGAAAGGAGAAGAAGAAAGGGGATTGTGAAGATTTATTAAATTTGTCAGCTTTCATAATTCCCTTTACATGGATTTGTAATAATAAGTTGTTGGGAGATGCTTAGTCTTCATTTCCCCCCCCATACTTTTCTTTATTCATCATCTCCCTAAAACTCATCATAATCAACTCTCTGTTTGACTCAACACGCACACCTGCTTCAAACACAAATATAT